TGGAAGGCGGTGGAGTAAGAGCCGATAAAGGCAGAGTCTTTAGAGGTGAAGTTGAGCTTTTCTAGAAGATCGAGGTAACACATTAACATATGAATATGAAAGATTTTTTCATGAATAAATAAACTCGATTACCTTTCTCCTGATGATCAGAGGGGGCATCATCGTCATCGGGTAAACATGAAGAAGCTGAAGTCGGCCGCTTACGGTTGGGAACACCTTTGGCTGTTCCAGTTTGAGCAGGTGGGGAACTAGATGAAATAGCAGGATGTTTGCCATGAGCAGGTTGGGTTTTTGAGGGAGAAATGGGATTCCTGATAGATACAGGAATATGAGAAATGGAAGGAGTCCTTGACCTTTCCAGCAAATGGAAAGCATGGTTAACATCAGTTGTGATCAACCTACACTTCACGGATGGCCATAGTAAAGAGGGTGAACAACAAAAGTGGGATTAAAAGGGGCCAAGGAGAAACCGTTTGTCAAAAGAGTATTACGGGCATCAATGGCACGTGCCTCTGTATAATTGATAGTATGAAAATGTTCTGTCAGACTTTTGGAAAAATAGGAAGGAACTGGCCACGTCTGGCCAAAACCAAGCTGACGACCAACAAATTGGCGAGCATATATCTCGACCCCTGTCTTAGCATTTGTTCCAGTTAAGATATCATGGAACAGTTCTTTCCCAGTCAAATATTGAGCCTAAATGGGCAAAACGGTGCTCAGATCGTCCATGGTAGAAAGAGTTTGCACATAGGTTGGAACTAAGTGAGCAGGGAAAGGAAAAAAGGTAGAAATTGAATTCAAGTTATAAAATAATGAAAAAACGTCCCTATTGGACATATTAACATGGCTCAATTGGTTGATAGCCATCCCGTAACAACTGACATATTGAGGAGTGGATGGAGCATCAGGTTGTGAAAAATATCCTCTCAACCACAATTGAGCAAGACAAAGAGGCCACTGTCCGTATTAGATGCACCATTCCTCAACTGGTATAGGAGGGAAGTTATGCATCTATAAAAGGCGACTAAGAATAATGAACAAAGATTTAGAGCCTGCCACGCGCTATGGGCAAATAACTCACAGAAGGTTTAACACTGGGCACATAAAAAATATATTTACAAAGCCAGACTTGAAGAAAGACGACTCGCTCAGTTTGGTTAGGTTTAGCACTAGAATTATTATAAAGTTCTTACATGCCCGAATAAGAATTAGTAAATCTTTTATCAAATTTTGGGGTAGCATGGTAGGAGAAACGGTGTCGCCCAAGGGCGGAAGATTAACTAAGACTCCAACGTCCCTTAGAGTGATAGATATTGGGCCAAGTAGGAAAATAAAAGTATTATACTCAGAAGACCAAAAACTAAAAGTAATAGGGAAGAGCACGACATCATAGATTGGGGGACGGAGAGCGATTTCTAATAAATCCAAAATTCTAGCATGATCAAAAATCGCCTTAGTGGGACCATGATTTGTCATACGTGCATGCCAAATGAGGAAAGTATTATCAGTTTTGGGTCAAGTGCGAATACTTTCCTAACGGATTGGCTTCAGCGGAAAGGGTTCAGAAAAGAGAATCTTGAGTACAAAGGAATAGCTGGCCCACCGCTACTTGCCCAACAGATTCAGCATCATTAAATGAAGGGCCTAGATAGAACTCATAGAGGTTAGGGTTGGCTGATAAAAGGGAAGCTGTATTTATATACAGGTTGGTGAGGAGGTTTTGAAAATCTTCAAAACTTATAGAGTTGTCGGAAGAGCTCTGTGAAGTCGCCATTTGCTACAGATTGCAGTCTTTGTGAGGATTTGTGAGAAGTGTAGCAGAGAATCAAGAAGATGAACTGTGGTCTTTATAGGAAAAAGAAGTGCGCGATGCAAAACGTGGGTATAATGGCGCGATGATGTGGTGTGTTCTTTGATTTATAGGAGTTGTACGATATTACACTTTTTAGGACATATAGTATCACCGCCAAACAAAAATAATGATTGGGATTCTTCGCCCTTTTTTGGGATTTCAAGTATTGCGGGAAAATACATAGGAAGAATATGGCATAAGATTAATAATTGATATTAATTTTGTCATATTAGGAGGTAATTATTAACATACAAAAATGAGACCCAATTAAATGGTCCAAAGAATGAAGCCCAGTTAGGAGATTCGAAAAATAGATCCAAATGAGACCATATAAAAATCCAAGAATGAGTTATGTAATGGAGCCCCATTATCGCTCAAGTCTACGAGATGCCCAGACGCCCAAGATCTGGGCGAGCCCATCATCACTCAAGCCTATGAGATGTCCAAAATCTGGACAAATATAGTGTCTCGATTGCTATTCGAAGCAACGGTTATTGAAGCAGTTAATGAGTAATCTTATCATATTTCACGATCCAAGAATCTCGGTTGCAAGAAGTAATGACATCGGTTAAAAACGGTAGTTTCTTGAGAAGTCATCCATTATGTAGAAAGTGAGTAGTTACAAGGCGATGTGCAGTTTTCAAACGGTTTTACAAGAGAAACTGTCCAACACTCTCAAACAGAGAACTATGTAATATTATTTCTTTTCTTCTTGTTAACTTTCAATTACTTTGTGAATTCAGTGTGCTTGTGCTCATTGGAGGCATTTTGCTTCGTCCATATTGTAATCTTAATAAATAAAATACTACTCTTTGGGATTTTGTCTCGAGAGGTTGTTGTTCCTTACACAATCGTCTGAACATTTTTTTAATTGTTACCGATGCTCAATTTCCACGCGAAATAGCTCGGTACAATTATTGCAAATGAAATGCTTTGGCTTCAAGCGCCGAATTCCTGTTGGGACTTGATTCATTTAGGTTCTGAACAGAATTGGACCAAATCAGACAATATCGAGCTCTAAACTTCATATGGTCCCCTATAGTACATTTCAACATATCAAATACGCAATTAAGTCGCTCAAAAACAACTTCTCTTTTCCTTTCCTTTATTTATTTATTTTTGAGAGGAAAAGGACAAGAGCATGGGTTTACACAAATTATTGAAATAGTTGAAACAAATTGTTGGGATTGAACCAATACAAATTTGCGAATTCAGTGTGCTTGTGCTCCTTGGAGGCATTTTGCTTCGTCCATATTGTAATCTTCATAAATAAAATACTACTCTTTGGGATTTTGTCTCGAGAGGTTGTTGTTCCTTACACAATCGTCTGAACATTTTTTTAATTGTTATCGATGCTCAATTTCCACGCGAAATAGCTCGGTACAATTATTGCAAATGAAACGCTTTGGCTTCAAGCGCCGAATTCCTGTTGGGACTTGATTCATTTAGGTTCCGAACAGAAGTCGACCAAATCAGACAATATCGAGCTCTAAACTTCATATGGTCCCCTATAGTACATTTCAACATATCAAATACACAATTAAGTCGCTCAAAAACAACTTCTCTTTTCCTTTCCTTTATTTATTTATTTTTGAGAGGAAAAGGACAAGAGCATGGGTTTACACAAATTATTGAAATAGTTGAAACAAATTACGTAAGGGGTTTCTTGTTGCTCTAATAATTTCCCTTCCTTCCGTATTTTTTTCTTTGTTTAGGAAGGAAAAGGAAAGGCTTGATACTATTCTCATTGAATTGAAAATTGAAAGAGAATGCTGCGTGAGCGATTTTTATTTTTATTTTTGTAATGTCTTGATAAGTGGGGAAAATGAAACATTAGGCAAAGGACAACTGGTTCATGTTTTATTTGATTTGAATAAGGAGATAAAATATCAAATAATGCATTTAATAATTTTCTTGATTAGAGCAACCTTAGGAGAAAAGTTTCAATATGACGATTTTATATGTATGTTGAGGTGTCGCATTTTTAACGGCTCAAGGTTAGATGTGATTTAAATGGACGGTCTTACCACATGTGCACATATGAATGTCCTACCGAAGCTTCTCTCTAACTTTAGAGGCACACGATTTTAAGTGTGCCTCAGGAAAAGTGTGTTGGAGAGAATTTTCAATAAAATTCGCCTCTTAGACTTTGGATATTAATAAAATGAAAATACAAGCCAAGAGTATGGATTCACGGGCTTGTTAGAAGGGACCACATACATATAAATAAGTTAGAATAATCTCTTAAGTATAAAGATAAAATGATGCAATTATCTTGAAATATGTCGTGAACAATAAATTTAAGCCCTTGTTTGGTGGCAATTTTTTTGGGAAAATATTGTTTTAAATAGAGAATTTTTGGAAAATGTGTGATTAAAAAATAAGAATTTTTTATTTATTTACGTGTAACATATTTTATTATGTGAATGTGTGATTAAAAATAAGTATGTAGAACATAGAATTTTGAAAGAATAAGAGACAAACATGGCTTCTTATTCTTTATGTATACTAGAATGTGTGTGATTGAATATGTAGAATAAACATTAGAAAGACATCAAATATTGTTCATAATTTTCGTTTTATATTTTTACACTCTCTTAAAAGAGGGGCTTTGAGAATTACTATTCATTTGTGATTTCTCCTCACATATCACTTTTCCATATGTGGACAAAAAAATAAGTACTAGTCCACAATTGTTGACTTTGAAAAAAAAAAAAAAGAATCTGCTCTACACACGCCAATCTTCGCGCACACCACGGAGACACGCCTGTGTCTCCTCGTGGAGACACGGAGACGCACGTGTTGAGACACAGGCGTCTCCGTGGAGACACGGGGACACTGCCCGTGTCTCTGACCAAATCATACCAGTAATTAAAAATTTCCGTATAGAGATCTTTCACAGAATAACATTAATACAAATATTAATGGTTATGTTTTGAATAAAGTTAAATTTGAAAACAATGTTATTACCACCTCGTTATACTACTGAATTTGAAATCTCAAATTTTGGAATTTGATTGTGTTTTTGAGTTTAAAGCCATTGTACCTCTCCTTTGGCCTCTTGGTTTAATCTGATATGTGAGGCTGGCCACACCGTCAAATTGAAAACACTCATTTGCAATAACACTTTAACAATCATAAGGGGAGAATGAGTGGTGATTTACAATTTACATTTCATCTCCAGGTTCACAATTGTACTGGTTCTCCAAGAATTGAGATAAGTACTCTGTATCCATGTCGGTTGTGTGATAAGAACAAATTCTGAAACAACATTGTTAACAAGGGAGAGCTAGCACATTCTGGTTTATAAAGTCCATTATTGCTTAATAGTTAATAATGCTAAACATACCCATGTACTTTTGCTGCAGTTATCATCTTTAATTAAGTTTATCAGTTATAATCAGTGAATAAATTGTTATAAGAAGTTACAGCATTTCTTATTATTTTTCATATTTCAGGTCTGCAGTTCTTGCAGTTTGAAGAGTTCTTGTGAAAAAGCATATCTTCTTACAAATAAAGAGGATGAACCAAGAACTATTGATGTCCTGCGAGTCCTACTGACATATGGTTTTGATCCAGTGAATGGATCAGTCAGTAATATGTCCATTTTGAAAATGAAATATGTGAAGACTGTTGTCCGTAAGTTGATCCATGAGGTAGTCAAGTTAGGTTCTGTTCCCATAGATCCAAATCTTCTCCGTGTCACACGGAGACATGAAAAATTGACTGGTTCATCCTATCAAGATCCTGGAGTCGAATCCGATGCGGCGATACCAACAAGACTTCTTCCATGGCAGATCAACCATTTGGGTCTAGGGAGGTTGGCTTGGTTGAGAATTCTGTTCCCCATGCTTCGATGGTTCAAATTGGTGGATCTGAATGTGGAACTGAACTTTCCATATCTTCAACCCTTGATTCACCAGCTAGGTCTGAGGTTGAACCAGTTGAATCTGAACAAGGACTGAAAATTTCAAACGGGACTGCCTTTCCTATCAGCAATGAGAACCTTGGAGTGGAAACAAATGACGAGCCTAGCATCCCAGGATCTGATCTATCATATGCCAATTCAGATCAGTTGGAGAGATAGGACTGTTAACTCTGTTAATGATCGAAGTGTTAAATTCTGTGGTTTCTGTAGATTCACCACAGGTAGAGAAGAAGCCAGATATAGGTCCAAGCAATGTGCAGCGGGAGCTGGGATCCCAATCAAGCTATCCGGTGTCCAAGTCCTGAAGATTGGACCCAAACTCCAACTTCTCTTTATACGTGGAGTAGAAAACAAAATTTAGTTTACTATGCAGCTTGGTATGGAAAATTATCCCAAGGTGTATTAGAACACATCTTTAAGTAACAAAAGTTCAAAAATATTGGAAATATCTTCTACAGGCTGAAAGCTTGTGTTGATTTGGATGAGTGGTGTTCTTATTTATCAATAAAAATTAGACACGACCTCTAAGAAATATTCACTTACGCCCCTTCATTATATCTTGTCCTGTCCAATGACCTAATATCTCCTTATGGCATCTTAGGTTGGGAGTATTGAATAGTTCTGGATGGTATTAAAGAACAAAAAGAAGCTAAATAATTTTGTTCGTTATCTTGTCCATGATACTGCATAACAAACATGCATGTAATGTTTTATGACATGTACGACACAGTACAATTCTAGGAGCAATTGTTTATGAACCAGTGGAGGGTCCTCCATCCTTCAATCTTGGACCTTACTATTAGAATAATACTATTTGTACAGATTGATGTACAGAATGATGGCATGGAAGAAAGAGAGAGAGAGAGAGAGGAAAAAAGGAATTCAGTTACAAATTAGTTAATATAATTCACATCATTATTCTGCACATCATTATTTTAATTTACATGCAGGTTAACCAACCTTAATCTTTTTGCATTTGATGTCATCACAACTTTGTGTATTTACTATACAATTTTAATGATATCACAAGTTATGAAATATTGTATAGAAAAAATATAATTGAATGTAGGAGAATTCAACACATTTATTGTGCTAACATTGCTTACAAAATAACCAATCCCGTGCAATGCACGGGCAAAAACTAGTATTGGTAAAAGTATAAGAATAAAAGGTGAAGCTGTAGAATGACATTTGAGATCTTGTGTTTATGTACATTAAAAAAATTTGGAAAGGCAATCTTTTGACGCTTCCTAGGTATAGATAATTAGATATAAAATACACTTCAAGAAGTTTGAAATTTAAAATTACTAATTTTTTGTAAGAGAAAAACGTGTTTCAAAATATCTCAAATCACAAAATACACTTAGATGTGTTTGGTAGGGGATTTTTGGGGGAATAATTAATTTTTGAATAGTGATATGATGGGAAATGTATGATTGAAAAAGAAGAAAAAAGTATTGATGTGATGGAAAATATTATTTTATTGAAGAATGTGTGGTTGAAAATGAAAATTGATTTACTATAGAAAATGAGAATCTGTACCAAACAGACTCTTAATACCTAATTGATCTTCAAAAGAAGTTAAGTACTAAGGTGTAAACAATATTTTGATAAGAAAATCGAATGCAATAAGATTGGTTGATAAGGCTAGGGATTTAAAGCTATAAAGAGAATATATGTATCTTATTCTCTACATATGAGAATTAGATGTGTACATAAAACTGTTTTGACTGATGAATTCAGTGATCAACCTTATAATTTCTTGAACAATTAAGTAACTCCACAAAAAGATTGAGTTTTTATGACATGAGAACTTTTGACGGAAGGTCTTGCAAGGGATTTAATTGAGAAAAAAATAGGGGTGTCCAAAAGTCTCGGATCGAATCGGACCAAACCGAACCCTAACCGAATCGAGCGGTTCTTCATAAATTAAATACCCGAACGGGTACCCAAATCGAGAACCGATGGGTTTGGGTCGGGTCTAGACCAAGAACCGAAGAACCGAAACTAAATAATTTTTTTATTTTTTATATTGAATTAATTAAATTATTTTATTTTTTTTATACAAATTAGCAAATTAATTAAATAAATTAGATTATTTCATAATTTTAATTTTAAAACTCAAATCATTTTTAAAATCTATTAGCCCATTTTAATTTGAAACAAATGAATATACTTTATATAGTTTTACTGTAATATTAATATCTGCTTTTTGGTATTTGTATGCATTGAATTAATCTTATTGGACGGCTAGTTATTTATATGTTTTTGAATTGGGCTACGTTAATTTGTAAAAGTTACGAATGAAAT